TTTGAGGCAGAGTCTCACTCTGTCACCAGGCACCAGGCTGGAGTGCAGTGGCACAATCTCAGCTCATTGCAACCTCTGCCTCCCGGGTTCAAGCAATTCTCCTGCCTCAGCCTCCCAAGTAGCTGGGACTACAGGCACACGCCACCACACCCAGCTAATTTCTGTATTTTTTTTAGTAGAGCCGGGGTTTCACCATGTTGGCCAGGCTGGTCTCAAACTTCTGACCTCAGTCAATCCACCTGCTTTAGCACTGGGATCATAGGCGTGACACAGCACACCAGGCCAAATCAGCTTCATATAGCAAACTGTGAAAATTGTTCATGAGATCACGCAAGTTTGAATTACTTTAACAACGGATGACCCAACGTGAAGATCCTGGAGACAGAGCCAGGACCCAAGATTTTCAGTTCTCCAAAGGAGCCCAGCGTTGTAAAGAGTTTGGGCAAGTTTCCTTGGGTTGAAAAACGAAATGCATGTTTCACATTCAAAGTAAAACGGAGTTTCAAAAAGCACTTATTATTCAATTACTTTAGGCAATTGAGTCAAGCCAGGGATACACGCTGTCCAAAAACTCTTGGGAAGATGTTCCATTTTCTACATAGAATACTGGACCTATCCCAGTGTTCTCCAGGGATGCCCTGAAGACTTGTTACACATTCCAGAAAGTGCTCACATTTCTTCAACCAGCGGACCTAGAGATTGCTGTGCACCTGTGGCGCGTTCTGTCCAGCCCACGAGCAGCAACTGCTCACACAGATACTGAGCCAATCAGAAACGAGGAAATCCTTCTAATACTTCCCATCTTCACCCAGGAATGAGTTGGTCAAGAGGTGACTCTTCTTGTCCTCACCTGCCTGTCCCAGGGCTCATGGCTCCTCTCGTTCATGAGTTTCTACATGCAAGTATGAACTAAAATGAGAACAGAACTGCCAGGTATGGTGGCTCGAGCCTGTTATCCCAGCACTTTGGGAGGCCGAGGCAGGAAGATCACTTGAGGTCAAGAGTTCGAGACCAGCCTGGGCAACCTGGAGAAACCTCATCTCTACTAAAAATACAAAAATTAGTTGAGTGTGATGGTACATGCCTGTAGTCCCAGCTACTCGGGAGGCTGAGGCAGGAGAATGGCTTAAACCCAGGAGACAGGTTGCAGTGACCTGAGATTACGCCACTGCACTCCAACCTGGGCGACAGAGGGACTCTCTTTCTCAAAAACACAAACAGATACACGGATTAAAAAGGAGAAGCCCTAATTGCTCAAAGAAAATCAATAATTACCGTCCCCATTAGAAGCTCTGCATCTTGGGACCAAATAACTACAAGCCACATATGGAAAGGGCATTTAGTAGTTCACACACTAACTGATTCTAAAATAATTAGCTCTAGGGAGAGTGGCTGCATTGAAACATGGGCTCTCCACTGTATTTAGTTCAAGAAGTAACTCGGGGGGATGAGGAAAATGAAGTACATGTACCTGGCTGCAGGGTTAAGCAGCAGAAACAGCATTTTATTTTTATTTTTAGACAGTCTCTTTCTCTGCAGCCCAGGCTGGAGAGCAGTGGCACGATCTTGGCTCACTGCAACCTCCACCTCCTGGGTTCACGGTGTTGGCCAGGCTGGTTTCAAACCCTGACCTGAAATGATTCACCCGCCTCAGCCTCCCAAAGTGCTGGGATTACAGGCTCAAGCCACCATGCACAGCCACTAGCTTCTGATAACAATTCTACTCTCTACTTCTATGAGCTCAGCGTATCAACATGGGCATGGATCTTTTCATGCCTGACTTTTCTCACAGAGGATAATGTCTCCCAAGTTTATCTGTGTTGTTGTCAATGGCAGAATTTCATTTTTTTATGGCTGTATAGTATTCCATGATGTATAGATATCACATTTTAAAAATCTAGTCATGTGTTACATAGAAAAGGTAGTAAGATTATGGAATCACATGGCAATTCTAGTTTTAGTTTTCTGAGAAAGTCCCATGCTGTTTTCCATCACAGCTGTGCTAATTTACATTCCCACCAACAGGCCCTGACCTTCCTTCTGTCCCAGTCCTCACCAGCATGTTTTACCTTCTGTCTTTTTGATGCTAGCGAATCTACTGAGTTAAGACAGCATCTCCTTGTGGTTTGGATTTGCATTTACCTGATGATTAGTGTTCTTGGGCATTTTTTTCATCCTCTCCTTGGCCATGAGTCTGTCTTTTTTGGGGAAAAGACAGATCCTTTCAGATCCTTTAATAATCTTTTTTTCTTTTGAGACAAAATCTTGCTCTGTCACCCAGGATGGAGTGCAGTGGTGCAATCTCAGCTCACTGCAACCTCCGCCTCCTGGGTTCAAGCGATTCTCCTGCCTCAGCCACCAAGTAGCTGGGATGACATGCACCTGCCACCAGATACCTGGCTAACTTTTTGTATTTTTAGTAGAGACAAGGTTTCACCATGTTGGCCATTGGCCAGGCTGGTCTCGAACTCCTGACCTCAGGTGATCCACCTGCCTTGGCCTCCCAAAGTGCTGGGATTAGAGGGAGGAGCCACTGCACCTGGCCCCTTTGGTAATTTTAATTGGATTATTGTTTTTCTACTGTTGTTTGTTTGAGATCCTTGTATTTTTAGAGCTCTGTCCCCTGTCAGATGAGTAAATATTGTCTCTCGAATATGTGTAGATATATTCTCCCATTCTCCAGGTTGTGTCTTCACTCGGTCGCTTGTTTTCTTTGCTGTGCAGAAGCTTTTCTGGTTTCCTGTAGGCCCATTGATCTGTTTTTGAGATGTTGCCCAGAAAATCTTGGCCCACACAAAGGTCCTGAAGCATTTCCTCTACTGTTTATTTTAGGGATTTCATCACTTGGGGTCCTGTATTGAAGTGTCTAATTAGTGTTGAGTTTGTTACTGTATATGATGAGTGAGGGGAGCTAGTTTTATTCTTCTGAGCACATTATCCTGTTTTTCTACCATTTAGTGAACTAAGGGTTCTTTCCCCTGTGCTAGTTCTTGGTGCTTTTGTCAAAAGTCAGTTGGGTGTAAATACACGAGTTTTTTCCTGGAGTGTCTATTCTGTTCTGTCTTCCTACATGAAAAAATCACATTTTAGGGTGGGCACCGTGCCTCACACCTGTAATCTCAGCACGCTGGGAAGCCAAGGTGGGTGGATCACCTGAGGAGTTCGAGACCAGCCTGATCAACATGTTGAAAACCCATCTGTAATAGAAACACAATAAATTAGGCTGGTGGTGGGCACCTGTAATCCCAGCTACTTGAGAGGCTGAGGCAGGAGAATTGCTTGAACCTGGGAGGTGGAGGTTCCAGTGAGCTGAGATCGCAGCACTGCACAGCAGCCTGGGTGACAGCGAGACTGCATTTCAAAAAAAAAAAAAAATTTACATTCTCTTTGTGAGAAGGAATCTCGGTGTATTGCCTGACACCCGCCTTCAACCTTCCCACCTGGATGTTCTTTTCGCTCTTGGCTTCACTGTGGGTGGGCAGCAAATTGTACAGACAAAATGAAGTTTAACAAACTGTCTGAAACTTTGGTGTTTCTTCCCCTGAGGAATTCCCCTGAGGAATACCAGCTCTTCATGTGCAGAGAATTGGAAGTCTAGAAATTCAATTATCCCTCTTCTTTCAGTTCATGAACAGCTAGACGCTGGAAATACAGGTTCAATTGAAAGTTGGAAGCAGCAGCCCTGGAAATGTGCACAGTATCGCTGCTGAGGGGGGCTTCACGCAGGACACTGACAGGTCAGTGTGAGCACATGTGCGCACATACACACACACACACACACACGCACACACACTTGACTTCCTCTCTACTGTGGCGAGAAGCAGGCCCCCGGCTGCAAGTTCTGCCTGAATGGGTCAAGCCATCTACAAAACTCTCCCCTCCCTCCTGACTTTTGCTCAAAACACCTTTCTCAGACTGCAGATTCAAGGAACAGCCACGCCAGTCACCCCCCCATATCTATGGAAGCCCTTGATGTGGACTGCCCTCTTTGATCTCAGCAGGAAGAGGGTCTCCTCCCTCCCACCTGCTTCATCCTGGAGGAAGAGCTGCCTCTAGGATGAAAACATTGGGCAGGACATTGACAGTTTGCTATGTGAGCACATGCATGCACGCGTGCGCACACGCACACACGCACACGTGCATGTGCACACACTTGACATCCTCTCTACAGTGGCGAGAAGCAGGCCTCCGGCTGCAAGTCCTGCCCGAATGGGTCAAGCCATCTACAAAACTCTCTCCTCCCTCCCCACTTTTGCTCAAAACACCTTTCTCAGACTGCAGACTCAAGGAACAGCCACGCCAGCCACCCCCATATCTGTGGGAGCCGCTGAGGTGGGCTCCCCCTTGGCCCTCCGCAAGAAGAGAGTCTCCCCCTCCTACCTGTGTCATCCTGGGGGAAGAGCGGCCTCTAGAATGGAAGCGTTGGGTAGAAGGGTGCGGAGTAGAGACGCAATCACCACTTCAGTGCCTGACCGATTCCTTTGTACCAGACCCACACAGCCCTGTAATATCGTGGCACCCATTTCCCTGGCGGCGTCACTCAGCTGCAGATCCATCCCAGACCACAGCAGTGGATGCTATTTTTACCTGGATCAGGTCATAGCTTCTCCTTTGTTCCTGTTTCTGAAGGTCAGGAATGCCTGTACCCTCGGAAGCCAGGATCTCAGACAAAGGCTCTCCAATCCCGAAGCTCCTTCTGTCTCCCAGAAGCGTGGGGCGTCTGTGCTGGGGTCACTGCAGGCAGGTGTGTCATCGGCCCTCAGCAGTGCATCACTGCAGGCAAGTGAGGGCTGCTTCCAGGCGGAGTCGACCGGCTCCTGCTCACCGGTGTCAGGGCCACAGGTAGTGCAGACAGACATGAGGGCACGACTGGCCTGAACTGTGTCTTTGCTGGGCACTGGGTGGTCCCTGTTCTTCCACGTCATGGATTCCCGGTCCAAGCCCTGCTGTCCAATTCCAATACCCCCAGCTTCCTCCCTCCCTAAAAGGGTGGATTCGGGATGCGCAGCTCGGGAGGAACTGTGTCCTTTCCCAAGAATCTGCGCTCCTTGGGCCTTCTGTGTTCTGCTCTGACCTGCTCAAGTCTCCACCAGAGATCAGCCCTAAATATAGCTCAGCCATCAGGGAAAATGTGCATACCGGGGTACCTGTCTTTCCATTCCCCGGGGTACACCCCAAAGAGTAAGAGACAAACGTGGGACAGAGGGCCTTCTGTGATGCGAGGGCAGAAGCTGCATTCTTACACCAAGGCTGTGCGGACATCAGCCTTCATCACGGGCTGTGACTCTCACACCGAGACGTCCGCAGCACCCTCCATCACAGAACCAGCGTCTTCCCTTCCCTTATGTAAGCCGTGCCTCGGGGTAAGCGTTTGTCCTTTTTTTTTTTTTTTTCTTTCTTGGGCTGTTATGCTTGGGGTTAGCCATGAGTTGGGCGCAACTTGAAAGCCCCCTTCCGTGTCCAACACAGAGAGAGAGAGAGGGACAGAGAAGGGTCAGCCGAGTCTCTCCGTTAGCACCCTGTTTCTTTTACGGGAATATCCCTGCTCACCAATACCGGGGTGCAGGGTGTGAGTGGGGGAAAGACGAAGAAAGGGGGACTCCCAAAGAAGGGGTGACATGCAAGACCAAGAGGAGGGCGACATCCACCACTCAGCGCTGCGCGGGACAGAGTGGTGGAGGGAAGGCAGGGCGGTGGGAGGGTGATGGAGAGGCGCGCGGGGCGGGTGGAAACGCGTGCTCGCCCCGCACCTCCGCATCCGCGAGGGGAGGCTCCTGCCCCGCGCCGCAGCCAGTCCCCGCGCGCTCGCCCCGGCGCCTCCCTCCCGCGCCCCCGCTCCTCCGGCCGCCCCCGCGCCCCCCGCCGCCTCCTCCGCCCGTGGACCGCTGCGCGCTGCTGCCCCGGGGGGCTGGCGTTTCCACCTGTCACCGCGCCGCCGCCGCCGCCGCCCAAGTTTTGTTTTCAGGGAACTTACCTGGCGCGTCGTGTGCCTCAGGCTCTTCCCCATGGCCGCCGCCCCCTCCTCCCGCCAGCTCCCCGGGCCCCCCGCGCCCCCCGCCCAGCCCTGCGGCCGCCGGGCCCGATGAACGCCAGCAGCGGGGACTCGGGGGGTGGGAGCCCCGCGCGCAGCCGCCCGCACCCGAGCGCTCCTGCTTCCGAGCAGCCACGCAGCGTCCGTCCGGGGCAGGAGCATTGCGGATGCGGCGCGGGGCCGGCGCGGGGCTCCGGGCGCTCTCGGGGGTCGTGAGCGCCGCGCCCCGCGCCCCCGCACGCCCCCCACCGGCCCGCGCGCCCCGCCGGGGCCATGCAGTCTCTCATGTCGCCGGTGACCAAGGCGATCCTGGTGGCCCTGTTCAGCTTCGCCATCCTCCTCATCCTCTACGTGATTCTCTGGTACATCTGCCGCGATGTGGACTGCGACCACGGCATCTGAGCGCCGCCGGACCCCCGGGCCGCCACGCGACGCGGGGGGCGTCCGCGGCGGGAGGGCCCTGGGGACTGAGCGGTCCCGCGGTGCCCCCAGCTTGGCGCTGGAGACCCCCGCCCCGGGCCCCGCCGCCGGCCCTGCACCGCCTCCTGGCCTTGACCTTCAGCGACGCGCCGGGGAGAGCGGGTGAGTGCAGTCGCGCGGCGGCTCATGGGGCCAGGGCGGGGGAGCCCCAACTTCGGGGAGGGCGCCAGATCCGGACGCGAGACCGAACCCGAGGATGCGCGGAGCCCGGGGTTCCCCTGGGGACACGGGAAGCGGCAGGCGGCCGTGCAGAGGGGTGGGCGCCGGCCCGTCCTGCTCCTCCAGGTCCGTCCCACCTTCCCACCCACTGCGCGCCCTGGGTCCGAGGACCAGACGCGCTCCCGCCTGTGGCCGCCACCCGGGGAGCAGGACGCGCGGGCTCTCGGGTGGGTCCGTGCGCTATTGCACACCACGCGCTATCGGGTCCCCAGTCCTCTGCCCCAGCGGTGGACCCCGCACTCAGGTGCTCTGTCACCTCTACTGACAAAAAAAAAAAAAAAAAAAAAAAAAAAAAACCCCGCTGAGCGCAGTGCTGGGAACCGAGCGAGCGTCATCCACCGCCAAGGCACACCTCTAGGGACGAATGGAAAACAGAATTTAAACCAGTTCGGAAGCCTTTTTGCCTTTTCCACACCTCCAGGTGCCCCCAGGGAAGCCTGGGGTGCAGCGGGGGTAGGAGCTGTCCCTTAAAGTCCTCTGGCCCCTGCTCCAGAAGGGAGAGTGACGGACGTGACAATGATGAGGCTTTGTCCCACACCAATTGTGACGGGCAAGTTTGGGAAGGTGAAGCAATCTTTGACTAAATAAACACCTTCTGAGACAGAAAAATGCCTCCCTTTGAATATTTCTCTGGCGGGGGGGAACCCTGTGAGGAAAAACACCCAATTTAAACAGAGTGCCAATTTATGCACGGGCAACCTGCTGGGATGTCTCCCTCTGGTAATCAGGGCAGACAGCAGCTGTTTGGGGGCTCACCTCGGATCTTACTGAGCTTTTCTGCGCGTTGTTTAGGTTTGTGGATTCCTCCGTGATTCAATTTCCAGACACTTAAGGGTTAAGGAGACAAAAAAAATCCTGGGACTTTTGATCCTAGGATAATGTATAGATTGCTTGTCCTGAGAGTCTTTGGAAATTCAATGGGACTGCAAATGTGTGATTTGGGATGGTTAGGGTGTGTGTGTGTGTGTGTGTGTGCGCGCGCGCGCACGCGCGCGCGTTTGTTTTCTGTAGTTAAAATTGGAGCCGAGGCAGTGAGTGATTCTGCAGCACCTGAGCCACAGAAGCCGGCGTCTGCACAGCGCGGTTGGGGGCAGCTGTCAGGTTCACCTCCGGACAAGAAAGGCCTGTCCTCAACTTGTCCCCACCCCACCCCCCACTCCCAGATCACTTACCCAAATCTACGATTTTTACAGCTCAGTTCACAAAGACTCTCTGACAGCAGAACAGACTGGTGTGTTTGAAGCACTGCCTGTGCCGCAGGTATGAAATTAACTGGAAAGAAACAGGGTAGACGCTTGATTATGAAAATCGAAAATGGGATGCTTTGCTGATTATTTATTCCCCAATGGAGGAAAAGGCTACTGAGCTTCACCTAGGACATCCCACCCAGGGAATCCAAAATTAAGCCAAACACATACCCAAGGGCCTACTCCAATAGAAGAAGGAAGATTCAACCCAAGAAGCCTGTTTCTCAGGTGAGGGTCTGGGAGGAAACAGGGCTGTGGGCATCCATCATTAGTGGTGCTTGTGTAGGAAAGGTATGAAAACGCAGTTACCACCGAAACCAGATTTCAGCCACTAATCATCCTCGCCCTAAACATGACAGCTGGGTCCCAGTCCCATCTGGTGATTTCTTAGAGCGTATACATTCTCAGCCTGTCTTGGATTAGTCTTCTTACATAAAATTTCAATTTCAACAGAGCAATGTTTATTCAGTTTCCCAGAGAATGTCCCTGTCATGAATTAGGAACTAGCCATCTACATATTGATTTTCTATGAACGAGTACACTAAATTTCCTACTTAGTAGTCACTACCGTGCCCGCTGAAAGCCTCGTCATATCATCAGAACAAAACGCAGGGCTTCAGAATTCAAAGGGCAGGGCGTGCAGCAAGTCACAAGGCGCACAGCTAATTAACACTCTTGTGGAAGAAGAACACTAACACCCCTGGCAGATACTCTTCTTCCCCCAAGTACACAAGGGTAGAACCGGAAGCCTTTACACAGAAGGAAATCACACGGCCTCGGGCCTGTGCAGCCTCCTGCGTGATGTACAAAACACCTTCCCCTGCGGCGTTCCTCCGAATCTACACCACCGGCCTGGGAAGATGCCAGGTTGCCGCTAACACTCCTGTTTCAGGTACAGAAACCAAAGCAGGTAGAAGTCAAGGTCACCCAGCGGGTCAGTGCAGAGCTGTCACTGGAAGTGACACAGACTCACACTTGGAGCTTTTTAGAGATTGGGTTTCTTTCTCCCCTTGTGGCTCTTCTCTGGGATCCTCTTTTATATCCACCAGTTCACACTGAGATCCATCCGTTTACCAAGGGAGTCCTTAGATCATCGTGACCATTTTGGTATTTCTTTTCTTTGCTGTGTTACCCAGGCTGGAGTGCACTGGTGCAATCTCAGCTCACAGCAACCTCTGCCTCCTAGGTTCAAGCAACTCTCCTGCCTCAGCCTCCCGAGGACCTGGGATTATAGGCACGTGCCACCACGCCTGGCTAAGTTTTGTATTTTTAGTAGATACGGGGTTTCACCATGTTGGCCAGGCTGGTCTCGAACTCCTGACCTAGTGATCCACCTGCCTCAGCCTTCCAAAGTGCTGGGATTACAGGCGTGAGCCATGTGGCCCAGTCCATTTGCATATTTCACACCTAAAGAAGAGAGAGAGTGTGTGAGTTTTACAACAGCCGCATGGCCACTCAGGATGCTTTGCTGGAACCTAGAAGCATAAAACCTAACTGAGCAGAAGGACACTCAATAAAGCCGGGAAGAGTCCGACAAGACAGAAACCTCTGAGCTATTATCTTAATTTTCTGTGGACAACCCACGGATGCAGGGGTGGATAGAGTACTGTCAAAACACCTGTGCTTTCCTACAAATAACCATTAGACCGAATAGTTGCTGAGTGTTTGACTCGGCACCAACGTGAAGTTACAATAATATTATGTACATTGTATTTTACCCTCTGACAGCAAGAGGAATATAATTAGTACCCCAATTACACAGAGCAGAAAAATAAGGCTGGAAAAAAAACGTGATGTAACTTCCCCAAGAATAAAAGAAAAAACTCATCGGCCACCAAGCTTTTACTCATGAATCTGTAGCAAACATGTGTGTCTGTGGTGTGTGTGTGTGTGTTTGTGGCGTGTGTGTGTTTCTGGCATGGTGTGCTTGTGGTGTGTGTGTTTGTGGTGTGTGTGTGTGGTGTGTGTTTGTGGTGTGTGTGCATTTGTGTGTGGTGTGGTGTATTTGTGGTGTGTGTGTTTGTGGTGTGTGTGTGTGGTGGGTGTGTTTGTGGTGAGTGTGTTTGTGGTGGGTGTGTTTGTGGCATGGTGTGTTTGTGGTGTGTGTGCTGTGGTGTGTGTGTGGTGTGTGTGTGCTTGTGGTGGGTGTTTTTGTGGTGGGTGTGTTTGTGGTATGGTGTGTTTGTGGTGTGTGTGTTTGTGGTATGGTGTGTCTGTGGTGTGTGTGTGTCTGTGGTGTGTTTGTGTTTGTGGTGGGTGTGTTTGTGGTGTGTGTGTTTGTGGTGTGTATGTTTGTGGTATGCTGTGTTTGTGGTGTGTGTGTGTTTGCCCCATGGTGTGTTTGTGGGGTGTGTGTGTGTGTTTGTGGTGTATTTGTGGTGTGTGTGTTTGTGGGGTGTGTGTGTTTGTGGTGGGTGTGTTTGTGGTATGGTGTGTTTGTGTTATGGTGTGTTTGTGGTGTGTGTGTGTTTGTGCTGTGTGTGTTGTGGTGTGTGTTTGTGGTGTGTGTGTGTTTGTGCCATGGTGTTTATGGGGCGTGTCTGTGTTTGTGGTGTGTGTGTTTGTGGTATGCTGTGTTTGTGTTGTGTGTGTTTGTGGTGTGTGTGTGTGTTTGCACCATGGTGTGTTTGTGGGGTGTGTTTGTGTTTGTGGTGTGTGTGTTTGTGGTGTGTGTGTCTGTGGTGTGTAGGTTTGTGGTATGCTGTGTTTGTGGTGTGTGTGTGTTTGCGCCATGGTGTGTTTGTGGAGTGTGTGTGTGTTTGTGCTGTGTGTGTTTTTGGGGTGTGTGTGTGTTTGTGGTGGGTGTGTTTGTGGTATGGTGTGTTTGTGGTGTGTGTGTGTTTGCGCCATGGTGTGTTTGTGGGGTGTGTGTGCGTGTTTGTGGTGTATTTGTGGTGTGTGTGTTTGTGGGGTGTGTGTGTGTTTGTGGGGAGTGTGATTGTGGTATGGTGTGTTTGTGGTGTGTGTGTTTGTGGTATGGTGTTTGTGGTGTGTGTGTGTTTGTGCTGTGTGTGTTGTGGTGTGTGTGTTTGTGGTGTGTGTGTGTTTGTGCCATAATGTTTATGGGGCGTGTCTGTGTTTGTGGTGTGTGTGTTTGTGGTATGCTGTGTTTGTGGTGTGTGTGTTCGTGGTGTGTGTGTGTTTGCACCATGGTGTGTTTGTGGGGTGTGTTTGTGTTTGTGGTGTGTGTGTTTGTGGTGTGTAGGTTTGTGGTATGCTGTGTTTGTGGTGTGTGTGTGTTTGCGCCATGGTGTGTTTGTGGGGTGTGTGTGTGTTTGTGGTGTGTGTGTTTTTGGGGTGTGTGTGTGTTTGTGGTGGGTGTGTTTGTGGTATGGTGTGTTTGTGGTGTGTATGTTTGTGGTATGCTGTGTTTTTGGTATGCTGTGTTTGTGGTGTGTGTGTGTGTTGTGGTGTGTGTGTTTGTGGTATGGTGTGTTTGTGGTGTGTGTGTGTTTGTGCTGTGTGTGTTGTGGTGTGTGTGTTTGTGCTGTGTGTGTTGTGTGTGTGTTTGTGGTGTGTGTGTTTGTGCCATGGTGTGTTTATGGGGTGTGTGTGTGTTTGTGGTGTGTATGTTTGTGGTATGCTGTGTTTGTAGTGTGTGTGTTCGTGGTGTGTGTGTGTTGGCACCATGGTGTG